GGTCATAAAAAACTGAAAATTTGAATAGACCTATAACTAATAAGAATATTGAATCAGTCATCAAAACTTTCCCGACAAAAAAAAGCCCAGTACCGGATGGCTTCACTGTTAAATTCTACCATAAATTTAAAAACTTAACACAATCTTTTACAAAGTTATCCAAAAAATTGGAGAAGAATTAACACACCCAAAATTATTTTATGAGGCCAGTATTTCTCTGATACCAAAGTCAGACAAAGATATAACAAGAAAGCAATATTACAGGCCAATACCTCTGATGAATGTTGAAATGAACATTTTCAACAAAATACCAGCAAACAGAATTTAACAGCATATTAAAAGGATTGTACAACATAACCAAGTAGAATTTATTCCTGGAATGCACTGATGGGTCAATATATGAAAATCAGTCATGAAATACTCAGATTAACAGAGGAAAAAATGAAATCTACTCAGCTGATGTGGAAAAGCATTTGCTAAAATTCAGTGCCGTTTTAAGATAAAAACATTCATCAAATTAGAAAAAGAAGAAAATTACCTCAACATAATAAAAGTCATGTATGAAAAACCCAAATAAACATCATAGATATTCAATGTAGGCAAAACAACTTTATATTAAAAGAAGATACCATCTAGGACTTTGATAGCTAGAAATGAGGAGTCAGTGACTACCTTCAGAGTTTCAAAGGACAGGCTGACTCTTGTTAGGGGCTATTGCAGTTGGTGACTTTAAGTTGAATCCAGTGTCATTTATTATTCCAAAAAATCCAAGCGGCCATGAGAATTATGCTAAATCAACTCTGCCTGTGCTCTGTCAGTGGAACAGCAAAGCCTGGATGACAGTGTATCTGCTTACAACATTTATTGAATATTTTAAGCCCACTGTTGAGATCTACTCCTCAGAAAAATATTTCTTACTGTTCTTTGACAATTTACCTGGTCACCCAAGAGCTCTGATGGAGATGTACAATGAGATTAATGTTGTTTTCGTGCCTAACACAACGTCCATTCTGTAGCCCATGGATCAAGGAGTTATTTTGATTTTCAAGTCTCATTATTTAAGAAACACATTACATAAAGCTATAGCTTTCATAGATAGTGATTTCTCTGATAGATCTGGGAAAAGTCAGCTGATACCTTATTACAAGATTCACCAGCTTAGATACTGTTAAGAACGTATACAATTCATTGGACGTGGTTAAAGTATCAGCATTATTAGCAGTTTGAAATAGGCTGATTCCAAACCTCATGGATGACTTTGAGGGATTTAAGACTTCAGTGAAGGAAGTATCTACAGATGTGGTGGAAATAAGCGAACTAGAATTAGAAGCAGAGCCTGAAGATTTGACTGAATTGTTGCAATCTCATGATAAAATTTTAACAGATGAAGAGTTGAAGTTAGGGGGAAAGAGTTGAGGAAGGGAAAGAAAGTGATTTCTTGAGATGGAATTTTTTCCTGGTGAAGTTAACTGTGAAGATTGTTGAAATGATAATGAAGTATTTAGAAAATTACATAAACATAGTAGATAAAACAAGAGCAGGGCTTGAGGATTGACTTAAATTCTGAAAGAAATTCTGTGACTAAGATGCTATTAAACGGCATCACATGCTACAGGGGAATTGTTCATGAAAGGAAGACAATTGATGCAGCAAACTTCACTGTTGTCTTATTTTAAGAAATTGCCACAGCCACCTCAGCTGATCAGTCAGCAGCCATCAACACGGAGACAAGATCCTCCACCAGTCTAGAACTGAACCCACAACATCTCCAAAGTATGCCTGTAGTCTTAAATATTTATTGTACTTTAATGAATGAGTAAATGTAAATGAACAGAATATCATACAAAAGCTGTTGGAACACACACACCGAATTTAAACATAGAGAACAAACAAAAAATGTGAGAAACATGCAACTAAAGTAGAAATTAACTAAAAAAATAGAACTATTGAATAAATAAAAAGTTAGTTCCTTTACAAAGTATTAATATAATAATATATACAGATATAATCAAATGTTGACAAGAGAAAAGATACAAAACACAGACTAAATAAGAAGGAACAAACTGCTATATACAGAATAAACAAGGTCCTACTGTGTATAGTAAAGGGAACTATATTCAGTAACTTGTAATAACCTATAATGAAAAATAATATGAAAAAGAATATAGATATATAACTGAATCATTATGCTGTATACCAGAAAGTAACACAACATAATAAGTCAACTACACTTCAGTAAAAAAAAAAAAAAAGAAGGAAATGAGAGGGAGAAGTAAATGAGAAAATTTGCATAGAAGTTTACAAATATGTAAATTTAGATTATAATAAATATTTTTTAAGAAATTTAGTTAGCATTTATTAAGTAGACACTAAGGCATTAAATAGAGATACAGAAATAATAAGAATAAATTCCCACCAGAGAATTACAGGAAGTTATCACAAAGAACCACATTGAAAAGCACTAGGCTAAATGTGTTTCATGGGAATTTATTAAACCTCAAAGAATAGATAATTCCTAGGTTACCTGACTTGTTTCCATAGCCTAGAAGACTAAAATTATCCACACTCTATTTCTTAAACAAGGATATTTGATGCCTAATCTTGATAAATATTGCACAACACAGAAAAAAATGCACATTAATTCCATTTAGGAATGTCAATGCAAAATCCTTTAATAGGAAAGAAAGCAAAAAGACTTTAAAAGTACATTAAAAAATACAGTACAACCATAGCAATTAGTCAGTGGTTGTTACAATTTGGCTTTCTGGTCACAGAATGTCTGTTTTACCTTCTTTCCCACACCACCTTCTCAAGTGTTACATCTGAAAGTTCATACAGTATCCAAATCAAATTCAGGATTTCTGGATGATTTACTATCATTTTTTTTGATATTGGAAAGTTGTGCTTTATGATAGGATAATATATGTATGATAGAGAACTTATCTATCCCCTACCCTCTTCTACACATGCTCAATATACAATGATGTAGCAAAAACAGGGTAATTGCAGTTAAAACCACCAGTACAAAAAAAAAAAAATAGAGCAAGAAATATGTAGAAAGACACAGTAGCCAGTGGATCAATAATAAACTTCTGGGCCTAGAATGGAAAATCTCTCAATCCACACATGACCAGATCCTAATTCTGCTTGTGAGTTGTCACCTGTACACTGTTTTATAAAGTCTTCAAAAGCCACTCTGTGGAACTGTTCATTTTCCATTATTATCCACACACACATATGAAATGGCTGCTAGAGTCTATCCTTCTTCGGGGGCTGCCCAGCTTTTATGGTCCATTTCTTACTGGTCCAAGTTTGGAGATGGAGTGTTGATATAAGATTAAAGTAAACAATGTATTTTTTAGTTGACTTTGATCTATTGACAAAACAACCCCACAAAGACTTAATTAGCTTCAGATCTATTTGCTTCCTGTCCATTCTATGTACCAGGAATCACTTAACCACATGCAAAATTATTTCCTATTTCTAATCGTAAATTCTGCTTCATTTATCTTTCTCTCTCCCCACCTCCCTTTTTAAGGCTGACCACCTTTGAACACCTTTATTTTAATAATAGGTTTATCTAGTTTAGAAAAACTCTTAATCTGAGCTGTGCTCAAGGGTGTGTTATTTTGTTTTCCTGAGAAATCTGTTTCTCAAATCTATTGCTCAAATCTGAGTGGTAGGAACCCAGAAGGAGCCAGAATCTTCCCAACTTTTGAGTCTCCAAATTAGGACTCCTTGTTTGCTTTCATTTCATTTTATAAACTGCCTAATTCTTTCTTGAACTTATCTCTTTTATGGAACGTCTTTTCTGGAAGCATAAAATAAAAGCAAATGTGCACTATCATTTTAATTGTCACATTTCCTAGAACTACAACTTAGTAGGCATGTGATCAGTCTGCTAAGTTATCAAGAGCAAATTTTAAATGAGGTATTAGCACTGCCTAAGGAGTTAACACATGTCTGAGCTCTGGTATCAATTTCTTAGATACTGCTATCTGGCTGTTAAGCCATCCCATATAATTTTTGATTATATTATGGAATCATCTCACTTCAGAGCACCATATTTATATTAATTAATGGAGCACTACTGCTGTATAACAGAAGTGTATAGTGATGCAATCATAACAAAGTTTGTTTCAAGCTCATATAAAGCTTAATTGGTGTCCACAATCTGTTGATTCTTCTCTTCCAGGAAATGACAAAACACCAAACTTCTATTGTGATAGAAGATGCCTATGCTATCTTTACCTTGTGTCTTTCACAGTCACTGTATGTACTCATCTTAAAACAGTACAAGGAGACAGAGGATGGAGAACTATTCATGGTCAGTTTTTATGGCCCAAGGTTAGAAGTGGCCCTGCCCCTCTTCTGTTTACATTCTATTGGCTCCGATTCTCCCAGCAGCAGCTTATTGTTACCTTGTGCTTAACATTAGGCCTGAGTTGGCTGGAAGGGTTTCTCTGTGTTCCTGTTTCACTTTCTGCTTTCAGTTGCCTCTGCACAGCTGCGCAGCAGAGGTAGGTTCTCATTCCCTGCTCTGTCCGCAGCAGTCCACTGCTGTAGCATGGAATTCTGCTGGGATTATAATTTAGGTGGCATATCTTCTGGTGCAGCCTTAGTCTTATAAGGGTCTGTGTACCTAAGCCATGGGAATAGATAGCACCTTCTCAGTGTTTCTGTCCCTCCTCTCTGTGGCAGCAAATTGATTTCTATCTGTGGTGGATAATAGGAAGAAAAAAAAAGGAGAAAAACAGAATTTTCTGTCCCTCCCTAAGTAGTAGAAAACTTCTGTTATATATCAGTGCCAGATTAGGGTCCAGGAGGTTTTCCTGGACCTTTCCTAGATTCAAAGAATGTTTACTTTTACCCTTTCTCTAGAAGTTGTGTGCATTCGCCTGATTTATGGCATCAGCAAAAAGAATTCCCTATCCTTAGACAGATGTTGCGTCTGCTATTCCCCAGAAGGCTGTAGAGTTGAGAGGGTTCGTTTCCCTCACCTCCACCTCAGCGGCTAGAGACTTGCTTCCTCTGGGAGGAAGGTCCACGGGAGCAGACATCACGGCGAAAAGCATCTCATGCAGGCCTGTACCACCGAGGGAACTCGCTCCTGTCTTCAGCTCTGCCTAGCCTTTCTTCTAAGCTTCTGGAGGAAGCCTGTGGGAAGAGCTCTCCTCATGTCCAGGGCTCCCCATTATTATAAACTGATAGGCTAGTTCAACTCAGTCTTTAATAATCTATCAGCATTTGAGCCAACATCTCACATGCTTCTGTTGAAGTCATCTGTACTGCCTCTGCTTTGACAAAAATGAAATAGTTCATTTGTCTGTTTTCTCCTGAAAGAGGCTTGTCACTTGAAATCCAGTCCCATGGTTGTCTTTGGACAAGTATTCTGTCCTTTCAAGGAAAGTTATGCTTTTGTAAATGGTATATCTTTCTTTCTTTTTTTTTTTGGTTATTAGGATAGGAGTCACATTTTCTTGATTTCCACATCTTAAATAGAAGCAAAATTCTCATTATTTGCTATGTCTTTTTAACTACACTATTTATTATTGTAAACTGATGTATGCAACATAGTACCTGGAATATAATGAGAATTACACTAAAAAATTGAATGAATTTATAAATAATACATTAACTAGAATATATAATGTTCAAAAAGGAAAATAGATAATGTTTGATGACACACCCATATCCTTCGTACTTTCCCCAAAGCCACACGCTTCTTTTTTACTTTCATATCACTGAATTCTTTGCCTTCATGGCACTTGTCACAATTATACCATCTGTATTTGTGTGGAGTTGTGGGTGTAAATATTTGATTAGTGTATATTTCCCTCACCAGACTACAAGGTTCACAAGGATATAATTATGTTTACTATTTTTTTTCTAACACTTAGAACACTATTAAAAGCAGGCCCTCAGAGATTGTTGGGTGAATCAATAAACAACAGAGACACAAAACAGGCAACATTCGGGAGATAGAAAAATCATAAAATAACAATATTTCCATTTTTAACATGGCAAAAAGTTTAGGCAATTGTATTTGAAAGGAATGTTTTAAAATTTTCAGTTCAAACTCTTTTTTTGTACACGTGAAGAAATTAAGGGCAGGAGACATTAAGTGATTCTCCTAAAGTCACATTATTCATTAGTGGCTGAGCCTGGAATAGAAACTAGGTCTCCTGGCTCTCAATCCATTGCTCTCTTGATTTGGGTGCTCTGAGCAAAACAGTTTAAGACATTGGTTTATGCATGTAAAAATGCCCATGTTGAGAAATAGGGAAAAGGAAGATAGGCTTCTAAAATATGTCTCAGCCATGATACCCAAACAGATGGCTATGTTACAGCAACTCTCTCAGGCAAGTTATATTCAGAAAAGGCAACACATCACCAGGTCTCTTAATCCCAATGGGCAGGAAATGATTTCACAGTGTATCAGGCAGTGCAGCAACTGGCATTTCAATATTTCCTCCTGAAGGGAAGATGAATGCAAAATAGCTTTATCTTCATGCTCTAGCTGGTGATTTCCCTCCTGTGTCCTTTATAACTTTGGTAGGGGGAAAAAATACAAAAAGAAGGTTAAATAGAGACTGCCAGTCAGCCAGCCATTCCAGGTATTCATAAGCTCAGAAAAAATCTAAAGTTTCTAATAATATCAATAACAAAAATATTATCTGATAATAGTAACTTATTAATATGAACTGAATGTGATACAGATTACTTAAATTCTTAAAAACTTCAACCAGCAATCATAAAATACTAGAAAGTTATTTTTTTGTTTGTTTTTTGTTTTTTTCAGTTAACTGATTTGTATATAGGCTTAGAGAGTTTAAAGATCTTGGAAAACTAGGAAGTGGTAGGATTAAAATTCATATCTAACTGATTTAATTATACAAAGTTACTATGATACACATAAATAAAATAGATAAAGAATGAAAAAAAGTACTCAATTTGTTGATCTCCAAAATGTTATCCAGAAGCTTTAGTTAGTTTCTTGATTGTCATTGTTAAGGCCAGATTTGATGTCACGAGAAGAAATCAACTTTTAATTTTTTTTTTTAGAGTACATGAAACCATTTCTCAAGGAAATATATCACAGTTTTCAAACCACCATCTCTATCAGCTCTGCCCAATTGAGAGATTATTAGTGCTATTTAATTTCATACTTTTTGTTAACCACACTTTTAAAAAATAGATACAGATAAAATTAAATTTTGTAATATATTTTATTTAACATCTTATCAAAGATAATTCTCAATCCAACTTGTAATAAAAAAAAGGACTATAAATGAAATGTTTTACATTTTTCTATATGAAGTCTTTGAAATCCACTGTATTATTTTACAATAATCTCATATTTTACTTTCCAAGTAATTTTTTCTAATATATTAGTTCTACTAATGTGTGTTGCATTTGTGTTGAAAACATTATCTGAGAAATATTAAATTTAAAATGCAGACATTTAGAAGAAAATTTCATATATACAGGTATTTCTAGATTTGCCAGTAAGCCATGTTTGAACTGTCTTCTGGATGTTAGTTTTTTTCTCTGCAATGTTTTTGGAATAAATTCCATCTTTTCCTTTTTTTGTCATATTTTACAATAAAAAAAAAACAGTTTTGAATAATGCTTCTCTCCTCTGTTCAAGTAGCAGCTCACACCTACACTGCTGTCTGCTATAAAGTATAATTGTTATTTCCATTACCTTGTGTCTGAGTCATTTTCCATGTCTGTGAATACTGTTCTCAATACCATCTGTTTGACTTTTTAGCATTGCCTCTCGTCCTGATTAATTTTAGACTGTATATCATATTTATTTCCATACTGTGAAAATCTTTCTGTAGTACTATTTATTCTAATAATGATTTTTTTCTAAAGGTTGATAATTCTTCCAGGAAGCTCATTTTTAATTATCTTCTGAAATCTACTTTTCAGTTGTTCCTAATATAGTTTGCCTTCAGGTAAATCAGTACTTTTAAGTAATCATGTGCTATTTTGTCATAATATTGCTTGAATATATTTTTGTCGTATCCCATATTGGTAATGAATTTCACTAGAAAAAAAGTGGAATCTCTATAATCAGAGAAGGAACATATCTTTCAATATTCTGGAAGGCAGTTTTCACAAAATAATAGAAACTAAATTAAAAAGAAACTCAATAAGTAAGTACCTCCTGGAATATAGTTTTAATTATGCAAAAAGTATTATTTTTATAGCAAATAATGTAAGTTTAAATTATTATGTAACAACAGACAAAACAAGTCACTTAGTACTGTGTTAGGATGCTGAAACTGTCATATCAGGTGTCACACTCATAAGCAAGTAAAACTCGTTTTGCCATTCTATGAACCCTACAAATGGCCCACCTTGTACAATGAAAGTTGGATACTTCACTACTGGGAATTCTGAAACTATAAGGCTGTAACTCCATGAAATTATTTGTTTAATTTTATGTCCTTGTTCATCTGAGTATTCCTTTCTGTTTGTTTTTCTCTTTCTTCTCGTTTTTCATTTATTTTTTCTCCCCTCAATCTCTGACTCTAATGTCACACATCCTAAACTTATCTATGCCCACACTCTGCTTCTTACGATAGACAAGGGGAAATAAATGAACAAGAGAAAGAGAATATTGGGGAAAAAACACAAAGAAGAGAGAGAAAAAAATGGAGAGATGGACAAAGACCTAAGTTCCAAAGGAAGCCTTCTCATTTTCTGGATGTTTTCCCTGCTTGCTAAGGAGTGATAATTCCAGCAGCTAACATGCATTGTGTGAGAGCTCTGTGCCAAGTACTGTTCAAAGTCTTTTATAGATATTAACTGATTTAATTCTCAAAAGTCTATGAGGTATATCAAATTATTATTTCTGTGTAATAGTTACTTAAGCCTAGAAGAACTAAGAAATTTTTCCCATGTCACATGGCTAATGAGTGCCAGGGCCAGGATTTGACCCCAGAATTTGGTCCCAGAGCCTGAGCATGGTTAACAACTAGTGACTGTCTGCTTCTGAACTGCTGTAGACTTGAGACATTATTTATGTAGCAAAATATTATTTAGTGAAAATAAACTTTCACAAAATTAAGTGCCTTTTTATTAGCTAAGTGACTGAGAGCTAACTGTGCATATGTAATATTATTTTGCAACAACAAAATATTATTTCCTTTACTACATTGATGTGTATTGTGAGTCTCCAAGAATACTATGTAAAATATTTTATTTTACAAATACGTTTGACCTCAGATCTCTATTATTGAATAAATATCATTCTATTACAGAAGTCAAATAAACAAAAACGGAAGGAATACTGAATTTATAGACACCATATCTTGATTTTGGACTTTTTAACACATTATTACAGTGGATTTTAATTGTCACTTAATTTCCTAAGTGAGTTCCTTCCCATGCTGTGAAGGGTGAAATTTGCTTAGTTAGCATACCTTTATAATACACAGCTAATTTTCTATCAAATAAAACCATCATTACTGACATTGGCACTTCTCATATTAGACACTGAAGTTTTGTATGGTGGAGACTCCCATAAAACAGCTCTGTCACTTTATATAAATTAACCTCTCTGAGCCTCAGTTTCCTTACTCCCATGTTACGAATATTGCTTTAGATGACTTACAAGGGACTTAACAGCAGAGAATTGAACAAGTTGGTTTGGAGCCCTTACTAGCTCTCATTTTCCTTAAAGGCAAGGCCTGGAGTGTCCCAGAAAATGTCCTTGAAACTACACTGACACCACAGAAAATGTCCTATCCAAATTTATGTAATAGTTGTTTTTGTTTTGTTTGTTTGTTTTTTCAAAATAGACTTTCTTTTTTAAAGAGGTATTAAGTTCACAATAAAATTACGTGAAAGGGACACATATACCCCCTGCTTGCATTCACCCATAGCCTCCCCCATTATCAACATCCCCTACCAGAGTGGTACATTTTGCAGTTGATGAACTTGCATTGATACATCATTACCATCCAAAGCTCATAGTTTACATTCTGGTTCACTCTTTGTTTTGTACATTTTCTAGGTTTGGACAAATGTATAATGACATGTACTG